TATATATATATATATCGAACAAGCGATAGATACTGACTAGAAGTATGTAGCACAGGATCGAAAGGTCTGGCATAGCTGTGCCTGGCGTATAGGAACATCTCAGCAACATCACTAACATAAGAATTCACACTGGTAGCCCATGTGGGCTTAGTACTCTTGGCATGTTTGTTATCACTTTTTATTTGTGCAGAACGCATTATGTCAGGGAAAGTGAACGAGTTTTGATTGAATGAATAAGTTTGAATCGTTGTGTTTTCAGGTAGCAAAATTGGTTGATGGTAATGCATCATTTTCGGAACGAACTGTTTATTCACAAAATAAATATATCAACAAAAAAGCCAGGAAACATTCCGATCACGTTTATATCCTGAAGCCAACAGTACGCCTTGTTGCCGAATCGTATTATAAGAAAGATCCTGAAAGAGTGGCGCATCTTAGGTAATCAAATTATTTTTTTTTTGCTTAGCAGTTGTGTGTGTGCGTGTATGTGTGTGTGTGTTCGTGTGTATGTATGTATGCATGTATGTATGTATGTATGTATGTATGTATGTATGTGTGTATGTATGTATGCATGTATGTATGTATTTGTGTATGTATGTATGTATGTGTGTGTTTTGACATTTTTGTTCTCTGTACTCTATCAGACATGAAATTGACTCTAGATTTATGGTCTCTTGCAAGTTTATTTCAGTCTTCTGCTTGAATCACAAGATGTTAAATTATAAAAAAGTAATGCGAATTTCGAAAGGTCTAGAAAAGTTATAGACGTTAATCTCAGAATACAGTTATTATGAAAATCAAGTTACTGAATCTAACTAAAACAAGTACCGATTTTCAAATCATGAAACAGCCCATTTTTCATCACATAGCTGCAAACGTAGGTAGTAATGGAAATCGCCAATACAGCCGATTACCTGTTATGCACAGTAAACTAAGGACTTCCTTCGAGCTTACGCACGATTTATAGTTATTTCAAACTCTATTGAAAGCAGCTGTCGGATGGATATGTTTTCAAATTATTTAGGAATAAAGTATTGAATAAGAATGAAATCGGTGTAAGACGAAAGGAAAATTTCATGCTTTTGCTCCAAAATAAAATTGGTAGATGGAAACTGGGGGAAAATTAGGTTAGTGGAGAAGTGCTTGAGACGTATAAAAGAATGCCAAATTGCTCAAGGCGTTATAAAACAAAGCAAGTATTGCGATTTATGATGTTACTGGTGTCAATCCTTAGAAGTATCATAAAATAATTATTCTAATGGGAGTAACTGGCAAACGGAAAAAACAGTTTTCTTGTATCTTTTTTTGTTCAAATACTGATAAAAAAGTTAGATCACGGTTTTTGTCAGACTCTGACAGTGTGGTGAAAACACAAGTTTCTTCTTTCCAACCTTGACTTTTCTGAGTTTCCTATCATTATTCTGCTTAACCTCAATTGTTTTTGTCAACTAGAGTTAACATAGGTATATTTATGCGATAGCAAATAACAATAAAAACAAAAAAATGGTGGGAGGTAAGGTCTGAGGCGGACGGCGTGCTGATGTTGGTAGACGGAGTCTGGTCGATGTGCTGATGTTGGTGGTAGACGGCGTCTGGTCGGTGTGATGATGTTGGTAGTAGATGGCGTTCGGTCGGTGTCGAAACTAATGTCAACACCACAGACAGGATAAATTTCAGATTTCTTGGCGTTCCTTTTCCAGCTCACCGTTTTGCTCTTCGTTTACTTCTGGTCCCTTTCCGTTCCTCCTTCCCTCCCCCCCCCCCCCCCCCCCCCCCCCCCCCTTTCCCCCCCCCCC